TTTGTGCCCCGTTCCCACAAGGCCAGATAGCTGAGATGATTGGGAATATTATATAAATAATTACCGCTAGTTTTAGTTGATTGTCAAAACTGATTCCTCTAACAAATACTTGCATTTTGATAACTACTCTGGAATTCTTGAAAGCCTTCAAGACCCAAAGGAATCACTCTATAAGGGTGGAATATCAGCTATTAAGATTGGATAGTACATGTGTGTTTGGGGGCCTCACATTAAACCAAGAAGGCAGCTGCCTATTCAACCTATTCATGAAGCCTCTATCTTCAGGTCTCCCTAGGAAAATGGCATTAATGTATGTACATTGACAAAATATATTAGATCTCTCTTTGCTCACTAAGTTACCATTATTTCCTACATCAATATTTCAAAAAGTCTATGAGTTTCTCAGTATAGGTATATCCTTTATTAGTACAAATTGCCATTCTTCCTTTCCTCCCACCAGCCTTCCTTTATAGACTGTTATCAGTTATTGCAGAGAAGGAGGCCACACTCTGGGGATAGAGCTTCTCAGAACCAACTCTAAATTGGACTACAGAAGACTAGGTATTACTGGGCACGGACTCAACCAATTATCTTAGTTAAAAAGCCATTTTAAACTTTACTCCAGCACTTTTCCTAGGGATCAAATTGAGGGAGTAAAATGATACAAAGCACTAGGTAAAAAAGTTGTTCAACAGATGTCCAAACTATGTAGGCAGAATGGTATGCTAAATATGGAGGAGATGTTGGAGGCTGGGAAGTACTGTTAAGCAGCCCTTTCCAGTGATGCAGAATTAATTTTAGAACATCGGATACTGTAGTGCTTTAGTTCTTTTCTTTGGCAGTCACAAATGATCAGCCTTCTAATTTGAGATTTATAACTTTCTTTTGCACGGTTGCTTTTTCTAGGTCTGAGCTGTGGAATGTCATAGAGGCACTTCCTACTTCCTGCTGAGTGGGATTTTGTCACATAATCTTGAGACTTAGTCTTTTTTCTTTCTCATGTTTGTTGGTGGTGATTTCTTCTTTTTCTTCTGCTTCCTAACTGAAATATGAAGTGATTATTTTGAGTTAGACCAAACTCCCATATATCAAAATAACCTGCAACTTTCCTGACATAAGCAACATTTTTTTAGCTCTTTTCAATGAGAACTCTTTTCATTTGTAATCCCATTGTTTTTAAGGTAATGTGTCAGGATAAAATTCAATTCATAAAAAAAAGTCTAAAAAGTCACTTTCTAGTACTTAGAAAAAATCTAACTTTAAAAAGTCATGGTCATGATTACTTTCTTAGACACAAAATATTAAACAATTTTTCTATTTAACAAAAAATACCAAATTGAAAGGCTTTGAGTAGAAGAATTGCCAAAGGCCTTTTTTAAAGTATTGTTTCTTTTGCTTTTCAGAAGCCATCTGGATTTCTCTCTTTGTTGGATGAAGAGGGCCAAGTGCTTGGATCACTGGAATCTAACCTTCCTAAACGGCTGCAGTCTCTCTTGGAATCTTCTAACTCCAATGTGGTGTATTCTGCCATTAAAGATGGAAATGGAAATGTAGCACTCAAAGATCATTGTACCACCTTCACTATTATGCACTATGCAGGACGGGTAAGTTCAGTGAACTGCAAATAATGGACAAAGGATTAAAGGATAAGTTTAGGATTGTCATAATTTTTATAACACTTCATTTTCACAAAGAAAAGGTAGGAAACAAATCAGCCACTTTTGGGAATCCGTTTTAGAACCACCAATTCTCAAACGTCTTCCAAGGTTAGGACCACACTTACAGATACAGAGTTAGAAGGAATCTTTGAAGTTATCTAGTTCAATTCCTTCTTTTTTATGGGTGAAGAAAGTGAGGACCAGAAAGATGAAGGGACTTGTTCCAGGTCACATATTTTATGTAAGTGCCTGAGTTGGGATGCAAATCAAAGCACATTGTGTCTATGTCCATTACTCTTTCCAGTGCACCAGGATAAAATACTTCTTAGTTTGACCCTTTGATATACACTTTATATTTTTATGAGTCTAAAGATTGAGTTAATTCTATTTTCATTTGCTAAACAAATATTTGTTTAAAAGGAAAATATAGTATATATTTATATACATCTATCTAGATGTATGTGTGTGTGTGTATATATATATATATACACACACACACATATATATATACATATATATATATATATACATATATATATATATATATATATCGCATTTAAGTAAGACATTTTATCAATCACTCCTCGTGCTTTCTGCCAAACGAGACTTTCTAAAGCATAACTTTGTTCATGTCACCTTCTCCTATACCCAAACCTTTAACTTTTCCAAATTGGATAAAGTCAAATTTCTTAACCTTCACTTAGGGCCCTTAAAAAATCTATCAATGCAGATTATAATCATCTTGCTTTACTTACATAGTTTACATCTATGAGTCAGACAATTTTGTGGTAATGTATCTCTCTGGGTTTAGCTAGACTGATCTTTGAGCAGCAGACATACAGTCAACTACTGGGCACATCTATACCCTAAACATTTCTAGGATGGTAGGACTGGCCATAGTCTATGCTACAAGAGCATAGACTCCGCAAACCCAAGTTCATGTTCTTTAAGATCAGGAGATAGTAGTTCTAGAGCTGAACTACTATATAGTCCAACCATGCCACAGTGAGATGGAAGAATTTACTGAAAGAAAAGCTACACACATACACACACACACACACACACACACACACACACACACACACACACACATACACACACACAAACTAATAAGACCAAGTGAATGAAACATCTAACCAAAGGGTGTGCAAAAAAAATCATTGAAAAAATTTAGATAGTTGCATCTTTTGTACCTTTCATTAAAATGAAATCCCCAAGTGTTTGCTTTCCAGGAACTAAGGTTTCTATGATACTTAGATACACAAAAACATTTTTGAAATGGATTCCTAAAGGGGATCCAATGGTTTAAGGCATGACTGTGGTCTTATCTTTGGCCAGAGGAAGGGACAAGGACATAGGTATCAAAAATGCAATGTAAAATGTGGCCCACGACACTCCCAGGTTGGCCAAAACCAAGTTAAAATGTATTAGGAAATACTTAATAAAATAAATAATAATATAATAGCTCATGGGAAAATATTACATTTTAAAACTGAATCAATATGGAGGCCACTGGCATCCTTATATGTAGTTTATTGGGCCCATTTCTGTTTGAGTTTGATGCCATTGAACTAGAGAATTATTCCCTAAGCCAAAATATATGTGGACTGGTAAAACATTTGAACTTTCTACTGCTAACAAATTTTCCCTCCTTAAGTCTTAATGGTATTTCTTAACTCAGCAGATAAAGACCAGAGCCAGGGTGATTTCAGTAGGGCAGTCATCAGGGTTTTTGTTTTTCTTTTATGTTTATAGCTCTATAAAGTGAAGTACTTTTCTAGCAAATTTTGGGAAAGCAATGAAAATTTGACTTGTTAGAAAATAATAATAAAAGCTCACATTTGTATAACACTTTCAATTTTGCAAAGTGCTTTGTGTGTTATCTCTTCTGATCCTCAAAATAATCTGGTGAGGTGGGTCCTATTATTATCCCCATTTGGTAAATGGGGAATCTGAGGCAAGCTTTGAACTTAGATATTTCAGCCTCCATGTTCAATACTGTATACATTATGCCAATTAGATGTCCAGAGATAGCCTTTCGCTATTGTTTGTATTTCTTTATTGTTTGAAATGTTATACTAAAAGGTCGTTTATGAAATCATTTTATTTTAAATTAATTCATCTTAAAATAGGTGGTCATCATCACTGCTGGTGATAGTAAATGATTAATCCAACGTCTAGAATGAACTGATTCATTGCTGAACTTTCTCTAAAAAAATTACTTTTTGAAAGCACCTTTTTTTTACATATATATAGCCATATATATCATACATGGCTATATACATATATATTATATGTATATATACATGCATGCATATGTATATCTTTATCTATGTCTATATATAGTTCATGGTAGTGCAAAGGAGAAGAGACTTCTTTAAAAAAAATTAAGAACAGTATTTGAATTACAGCTGAAACTCTTCCCCTAGCAGAGCCCCAACATATAATCTGACTTTAAAATACTTTTCAAAGTCTTATTTTGATCTTTTTTCCTTATATTTATTGAACACTTAAGGCAAACTAAAACTTTCCCAGATTACCACCATGTGAAATTATCTCTACTTCTACAAATCTCTCGAATTACCCTATTTGTCCTATCCTGTAAACTTAGTCATATTCTAAGCTGAAAAATAATTGATCTTGCATATGCCTTAACAGATCCTACCACTCCAATGAGAACAAAAGCTCTTTGAGGACAGAAGCTGTGTGTAATTTGGTTTTTCACTTTTTCCCAGTGCCTCACAAAGTGTTTTTGTGTACTAGAAGCTTAACAAATGTTTGTTGAACTAAAGAATGTTCTTAAACCCATTTCAATTTTCAATTCTCTTAGAAGCACAATATATTAATCCATCTTCATTAAAGATTTCTTTTTTTAAGTGGCAAAGAGGGTATAATGAAATACTAATTGTCCAGCATTAATGAGAATGAAGTTAAATTGTAGTCTTCTGGAGTGAATTTAAGAACATTATGGGATAGCCTCTTTCAAGGGTAGCCTTAACATCCAGCTAGTGATTTATATAATGGTTCAAACATTAGATAATTGCATTCAGTTTTCTTGGCAATTGAAAATAAGAATCATGAAGAGAAACAAAAGTATAGTTTGGCAAAGAATGATAACTATTGGTACAGTTTTATTTTTCATTAAAGCTCTTTCATACTAATTGAAATCAAAAGGATTATTTTATTGCAAGGCTAAAATTTAGCATTAGAGAAGAGGGGGATAGCTACTCCTTGAGATAAGTAATCCCATCTGATACCTCTCTTGAATATAAATCTGGGACTGGGAAAAATATAGGGTGGCATAAAGTAGAGAGTGTAGGTTATGAGAAGAATGAATTCAGAGAATTGTAGGTTTTTTTAAATCAGTTGTTCAGGCATAAAACTGAAGTTGCCACTTGTTGACACTTTTGCTTCCTAGTGCATTAAGGAAAGAGCTCAAAGTTGTAGGGAGTGGTAAACTTCTCTTCATCTCCAGAAATACTCTGTGAACCTCAAAACATTTTGATAAGTGTTTTCATGACAGGTTAGTGATAGGTTGTCAATCTGCATTCACAGCAAATCCAGTTTTGGGAATACTAGATTATAAGATATCATTGCCTAGTTTCATAAGTAGGGAGAGGCAGGTTTAACTGGTCTTCTTCAGGTATAAATTGAGAGATAGGAGTTAGAGCTATTCATCCCAGCTTATAGCAAGATCTTGAACTTCTTAAGATAGTCCTTCTCTAGCATGTGAAAATTCCATTGTTATAGTTCTGTTAATCCAATGATTCAATTTAAAATTCAGGGGAAAGTCTACAACTCTCTGTCCATTGAAAAGTTCCCAAATGGGACATTGAGTGCATATCTTACTCCCTTAAGGAACTGAAAAGACACTTTGAGTAGAGAGATCATTTCCAAGAGCTCTGGGACCATACATGGCTTTTTTGAAACCCCGATTCTTAATTGCTAGCCTCAGTCCTAAGCCTCAGCTCCTAAGATTGAGAAGAGAAAAAGGCTTAGCTGTCTTCTTTTATTTTTTGTTTCCCATACAATATTTTAAATGCTTTGCTGTTGTCCCATCATTCTGTCGCATCTGACTCTTCATGACTCCATAGCTTACCATACCCTTTTATCCTCCACTTTCTCTCAAACTCTGTCCAAGGCCATGTTTGTTGTTTCCACGTTACTATGTATCCATCTCAACCTCTGTGGTCCCCTTTTCTTTTTGTCTTCAGTTTTCCTTTTAAGAGCTAAGTGAGTTTATATTTCCTGGCACAATCCAAGATCCAATAAATCCAATCCAATAAATATTTATTAAGTGCTTACTATGTGCCACAAACTGTCCTAAGCGCTAGGGATACAACTAATAAAAAGAAAGATAGTCTTTACCTTCATGGAGCTTACAATCTAACACACAAAAAGAGGCTGGACAATGTGTGTTTGTGTGTGTGTAGGTGAGGTAGGACACGAGGAGGCATCTTGTTTGGTGGAGTTAAAACCAGGTAGAGCAGCAGATATTGAGTAGAATGAGTACATAGTAGGTGTTTAATAAATGCTTGCTGATACCCTAGAAATGGCATTTTGATGCTGGGTTTCTAAAAAGTGAACATATTTTTATATGCCTATAGATTTTATAATTTTCTCATTATAATAATCTTCATTGCTTGTGCTTATAGAAAGCATACACAAATATTCCACACAAAAATATTTTTTGAGAAAATCTGACCAAAAAAAAATATTCAAAATGTGATTGGGTTTATTGAATGTCTTTTTACTCCACTAATGTCCTTTAGCATGGTCTGATTTTGGCAGAGGATTTTCTCAGTTTGTTTTTATTAAAGTGTAAATTTTTAAGGACACTATTTATTAGTCTTTGTATCCACAAGTACCTATAGTCTCACAATGTCTGGCACATAATAGACGCTTAAAATGCTTGTTGAATTGAATTTGTTAAATTAGTATAGAAAGTTACCCAGGTATGGTATTTTATTCCAAATCAAGTTGACAATAACATTTTTCTTTCGTTTTTGTTGCTGTGTTTCTTCTCCTGAACATTTTAGTGTTCATGAATGAATGAATAAAAAAGCATTTATTGAGTACTTACTTAGTGCAAATCACTGTTCTAAGGACTGGGGATACAGATAACAAAGTGAGACAATCCCTGCTCTCAAAGAATCCACAGGGGGAGACAATCATATGGGAGGCATCAGCTTTGGGGCAGAAAGGAAGTCCAGTGTTGTGAAGGACAAGTAATTCAGTATGACTGGAGTGTAGAATGGATATAAGGCTAACATATGAACAAGAATCTTTTAGAGTTGCTTCCACTGACAAAACCATATCCATTTCTGATGTTGAACTATTTGACAGTGGCAAGGACTTTGGTGATAACGTTCTTTTCTGGGTTTTTTAGTAGCTATGGCCACTGAGGCAGTAGGAATTGCATTGCTAGAAGAGACAGTTGCAAGGCCAGGCAGTAAAGGCCAATGACAGAGCTAGTGTTGAGTGGTGTGTCTCTGTGTGTGTGTGGGAAAGCTCATTAAGTATAGGCACAATGTGTCCCGGTGCCCTATAATGTTTGTTACTGTGCTGAATACATATTAGTTGATCATTCTTCAGAAAAGAAGAGAGAGATTGGAAAAAAAAATCATATTCACATGAAATTCTTAGGAAACTTGTACATTTTTATTGGTCAGTGATGATTATAGCATCACAATAGAAGAGATAAAGGACAATTTGTGACATTACACTGTATTAAAAGCCTTTCTTTTTTGGTCGACATGAAAGACTATAGTCAATCTAATTAGAAATGTTTAGCTATATAACACAACACAATTTATTGTCTCACTTTTCTGTTTATATATCCCAGCACATAGCATAGGGCCTGGTCCATAGTAGATGCTTAATACACACTTGTTCATTACATGAAAAGTCAGTCAAATCATATTTTTCATCAATAAATTTAAAGATAGCCTTTTCTATTACATTGACTTACTGTTTGAGTGTTGCCTAACTGTAGTCATTCATCTTATTTTTTTCCCTTTAAAATTGGAGTTTCTTCTTCTTGGTACTTACATATTTTTACTGATTATTCTTCCATAAAGCAACCACATTTGATATATTTTCTCTTTCTGAGTTTTTTTCCAATAGTGTATTTAAAGAAATAAAGCCTGTTATGAAACCAGCATATATTCATACCTGAGCTTTTTCTTACTAAATAAAAATATATTACTCTTGCATACTCTGGGTGTGTGTGTAACTTTTTGTGATATATTTTTATTTTATTTCTCCTTTTCCACCCCTCATCATCCTCAACTAAGGCATGAAGTAGAAATCATAGGCACATGGGTTCTATACATTAGTATCATTTCATTTGTTTCTGCATGCTTTCACATGAATCACATCAATGAACTGTTAGCGTAGCTATTGGAAATGATTTCAAGAAAGAATAATATTTTATTGCTCATCCTCTCCTAAACTGAGAAATAACTGATTCTTTTCTTTTTCTTTAAAAGAAAAGGACTACTTTTCCATCAAAATGATTCTGAACTTTATTCATTGATAGTCTTCTGACAACCCATTCTCTGAGGAATAAAAAATATCTGAGTTTTATTAGAGTAATCCTATACAACAATAAGCACATAGTAGGTACACAGTACAATAAATTATTATCAATGGATTATTTGAAGAGTTCATCAAAACACATCATGTTTCTACATCTGAAATAAAGAAACAACAATCATCGTCACCATGGGTTCACAAAATATTAATGGATCATGATTATGTTCTTAGAGAGAAAAAGGCATAACAATAGTCATGGAAGTTCTGATCTCAGTCCTGAGCTAGGAAAGATCAGTTTCTCCAATATGGCTCCCAGAGGTATGTTGCGCTTTCATCCTATCAAACAAGGAAAATGAGGAAATGAAAAGCACATCTGTTTTTTAATAGAAATAATGAATAATTATTTAACATGATAACAGAATACTTAGAAAGGAGTTCCAATGGCACTCAGTGGAAAAAAGTCTTGAGGAAGAGATAAGGACAACCAGTCCTTCCACATTCCCCTTCATGTATCTGCCTCAACCTCCTGACCCCTTTCAGGCCCCTAGCAACCTCCTCTTCTTGTTGTGTTCTCTCTTGTCTTGAGAAAGAGATCTAAACTTCCTCTAAAGCAAAACACTATGCCCTCTACTTTTAATTACTCATTAGCTTCCTCTCTTCCAGATTTGGGAAGAATATGACTCCTTGTGCCTTAAGTGATTTAAGCCCACCTCACAAGGCAGTCAATCCAAGCCTTGCCAGAGTGTTACACCCGAAAGTAATTGTATTTTTTAAACTTCTTTTTGGTAGGGCTACTTCACTGGTAGACTTGGACAATGCCATATGCATAGTATATTGTGGTTTTATCATGGAATTTGGGGGAAATTTTTCTCATAATATTCTTGTGGACAAAGCAAAGAAATGTGGGCCGATTATGGTATGGCTTGATGGATTCAAGAAGTGACTGAAAGATTAGACAAATACAAAGAATGGTGATTAATTGATTAATGTCAACCTAGAAGGAGTCACATGCCTGTAGGGATCTATATTTCAGCCTACACAGTTTGGCATTGCCATCAGGGACTTGAATGAAGGAATAGATGACATGTTTAAATGCATCTGGCTTGAAACTAGGAGGAATAAAAAGACATCACTTGATAGGTTCAGGACCAAAAATATCTTCAATAGTTTAGAACTACAGACCACAATCTAATAAGATGAAATTCAATAGAGACAAGCCTTAAATCTCTTACTTAGGCTCAAAAAACAACTGCCAAAGAACAGAAAGGGAAAGGTTTGGTTTAATTCAATGCAATACAATAAACATTTATTAAGTCACTACTTGAAAGGCAGTGTGGTATAATGGTTAAGAAGTAGCCCTTGAAATGAAGAAAACTTGGGTTCAAGTCCTGCATATGATATCTACAGACTCAGTGTTCTCAGCAGCCCTCTAAGACTATAAGGGGTAGTGAAGGTGCCTAATAGTATGGGTAGAAGAAATTTCCTCACCTGTAACAATGAATAATAATCCCAAACCCATTCCCATCCTATGTGCAAGATACTATTAGACAACAATTCATATGAAAAAAATTAGGGGTGTCTATTGAACTCTTACCTTAATATGAATTAATGTTGTATATGAAAAAAAAGAAGCTGAAAAAGCTAATGTGATCTTTGGTTCTGGTCAAACCACATTTCAAATATTTTTCAGCTATAGGTACCATATTTTAGGAAAGGCATTGGCATAACAGGGAAGCCAGGATGTTAAGGGAATTTAAGATTGTGCCATAAGAAAATTACTTAATGAAACTGGCATGAAGAAGAGAAGTTAAGGGGTGGGGAGTTTGTAAGAGCTATGTTCTTGTTTTAGAAAGGCTATCATACAGAAGAAGAACTTGCATAATTTGGTCCGTGGGGTCAGAAGCAGGAACAACGGATAGAAGATATATCTTGCCTTAATATAAGCAAACATTTGCTAACAATCAGAACTAACAATCCACTGTAGAATGGCTTGCCTTTTGAAGTAGTGAGTTCCCCATCACTAGAAAGCTCAATGATTATTTGATTACGGGATACTATAGAGAGAGCTGCTAGGTAGGTACAGATTAAACTAGATAAATTCCTAGGTCCCTTCCAATGCTGAAATTTTCTAACATTTGCCAACGTGCTAACCATTTTGACAAGGGTGTCTTACCTTGAAATGCAATGCTGCTCTGACCTATAACAAGGTGATAAATGGATCAGGCCAAAAGATGGACATCTTTGCCCTTAAACCTGTTTACATAACATCTTTTAAATGTGGATCAATAGGTGTTCAATTTCCCAACTCTACATGTGTCAGAAATACCTGTCTCAGCTGTCGACTCACCTTCACCATGGGGAGATTTGTGGGAGACAGCTTGTATCCCAGGCAGACTGTGAAACTGAACCTTTAAATCAAAAGACAAAGGAGATGGATTAATCAATAGGGAAGCTTTCATTTTATTTTCTCTTTTTTTCTTCTCTCTCCAGGCTGAATCCCCAGACATAACAATCAAATCAGTCTAGTCTAAGCTGTGCTGAAAATATTAAAGGTTATTTGGCAAAGACATTTTCACTCACAGAAAGAGCTATTGGTTTTTAACTTAAATCTGCATTTGTTCACCTTTTGGACAGACTTTTCAAAGAGTTAAAACCAGAGAGACCATGTTGTTAATTCAGCCTACTTGTAATATTCTGTCATTTCCAGTGAAATACTGTATTGGCATAAATTGTTAAAGATTGTGTGATGAGTGCTCACTTACTCAGGGTTTTGTTAGAGAAAACACAAAAGGGCTTTTAAGTGATCTCATAGTTTCATCAAAAACTTAATAGCTTCTGTTACCTCCAATTTTATGTACTAGCCAAAAAAAATGAGAGAGCATAAAATTCCAGAATACTGATAGCTGAGTTCCCAGTTAATTCATTGTATACATACATGTGTGCTATATACATATATGTCACATACATGTGTGTCATATATAGACACAAATACACGATAGGTATTTGTATACGTATGAGCATGTATACACGCATATATTGTATATGTTCACATATTGCATATCCATCCATATATCCATTTATTTATATCAAATCTATATATAATAAACATAGATATAGATACATGTTGTAATTTTCTGGAAAATAAATCGGTCAGTAAGCATCAAACACCAATTACTTACTGTATTCTAAGCACAATGCTAGGCACTGGAAATACAAAGACAAAAATGAAAAAAATCCCTTCCTTCAAAGAATATATATATATATATATATTTATATTTTCATTTTCTTTTTTAAAAACATAATTTTTCTAAACTTAACAAACTCCAAATAAAATTGGCCTCTCTTTATACATAGTGAAAGAGAAAAAGTGTTGTACATTAAACTGCAGATGTCAGTTGTGCACAGCTTTTTTTGTTTTAAATTATGTAAGTTTAACCTGAAGCTTTCAAAACTGTCCTACTTATCTTGTGGTTCCTTCTTGGCTTCCTTCTGTTCTGTGAGAAAGAAAGAGTAAGAAAGAAAGAAAGAAAGAAAGAAAGAAAGAAAGAAAGAAAGAAAGAAAGAAAGGAAGAAAGGAAGGAAGAAAGGAAAGAAAGAAGAAAGAAAGAAAGAAAGAAAGAAAAGAAGAAAGAAAGAAAGAAAGAAAGAAAGAAAGAAAGAAAGAAAGAAAGAAAGAAAGAAAGAAGAAAGAAAGAAAGAAAGAAAGAAAAGAAAGAAAGAAAGAAAGAAAGAAAGAAAGGAAGGAAGGAAGGAAGGAAGGAAGGAAGGAAAGAACGAAGGAAGGAAGGAAGAAAGGAAAGAAGGAAGGAAGGAAGGAAGAAACTTCAATGACATTATTTATATAATTTATTTTATCATTTTTTCCCTTTCTTCTTAGTACTTCCCTTTCTGCCTTGGAGGAGAGGTAGCAGATTCCAAAGCCCTTGTAACAAAAAGAGATAGATAGGATATATATGTATATATATATATATATATATATATATATATATATAGCATACGCATATATATATGCATGTATATTATACATGTAATATACATATAGTATATATATAGTTGTGTATATATGTATATATACATATAATGTGCACATATTTATACATAATATCTATCTAGTAAACCAAAACAAATTCCCACTTAGTGTCTGAAAATGTATCTCTTATTCTGCACTTTGAGTCCATCACCTCACTGTTAAGAGATGGGGAACATGAGTCACAACTAATCCTCTAGATTTTTGGTTAGTCATTTCGTTGAGCAAAGTTCTCAATGCTTCGAGGTTGTTTTTCTTTATAATCTTGTTGTTATTTTATAAGTTTTTCTCCTGGTGCAGCTTATCTTATTCTGCATCAATTTGTATATGTATTCTCAGGTTTCTCTAAAACCACTTCATTCATCATTTGTTGTGATACAATAATAGTCCATTACATTCATATACCATAATTTCTTCATCCGTTACGTAGAAGATAGTCATTCTCCCTTAGTTTCTGTGGGGTTTTTTGCTACATCAGAAAAAGCTTCTAAAACCTGCTATGAATAGTTTTGTATATATATGATGTTTTTTTCTTCATTGATATCTTTAGAGTAAGGCCTACTAGTAGTATTGGCTAGGTCAAAATGTTTTCATAGTTTAGTCACTTTTGTGGTATAGTTCCAAACTGCCAGAATGCCTAGATTAACTTATAGCTCTATCAACATTCAATAGTGTCTCTTTTCCCACAGCTCCAAAAACAAATATAATTTGTCTTTGTTTTGTTTCTTCACTAATCTTATAGGTGTGAGGCAGCATCTTCAGCTACTTTAATTTACATTTCTTTATTAATGATTTGGAGCATTATTTCATATGGTTGTTGATGGCTTAGTTGCTTTGAAAACTGCTTGTTACTATTCTTTGACTATTTATCAATTAGAAAATGGCTCTTATTCTTATAAATTTAAATCAATTCCCTATATATATTAGAAATGGGAACTTTAATGGAGAAACTGGCTCCAAAATATTTTCTCTAATTTCCTGTTTTCCTTCTAGTTTTATCTACATTATTTTTATTTGTGCAAAAATTTTTAGCTTTACATAATCAAAATTGTCTATTTCATGTTCTGTTGTCTCCATTTCTTGTTTTGTCATGAACCATTTCCCTATTCATAAATCCAAAAGGTAACCCATTTCTTCCCTCTTAATTTATTATATCACACTTTATGACTAAGTCATGTATCCATTTTGAGCTATATTGGTATACAGTGTGAGATGTTTGTCCAAACTTAATTACCACCAGATTGGTTTTTTTGTCTGTTTTCCCACTTTTGTCACATACTGAGTCCCTAAGGGAGTACACATTCTAATGGGGAGAAAAGATAACACACACACACACACACACACACACACACACACACATACATGTGTGTGTATATTTATTTAATAGCTATAGAAAACTGATACAAGGCTGCTCCCAGGAGCAGGGAAAAAGTTGGCTGAAGAAAACAGGGATTCCAACAAGTGGTAGAAAGTCACATATTCCCTGTACAAGGAACAGGTAGTAAGAAGGCACAGATAACAGAATCGTGAAGTGCCACATGTGAGGAAGGGCAAGAAGTCAAGTTGACTGTACTTCATAGTAAGCTGATGAGGAGTAATGATTCATAAGGCTAGAAAGTCAAGGGACAGCCAGGATGTGAAGAAATTTAATTGCAAGAAGACTTTACATCTGATAATGAAATTAGTAAGCAGCCAATTGGCTGTATTGTGAATGGGGCAGAGTGACATGATCACATCTATAACATAGGAAAATCACTTTCATGGTTGTGTGGAGAATGCATTAGCAGATTCCTTTTCAGCAAATTGATGTTAATTGATTTAGTGTGTCCACTTTGAAATGAAATATATATATATATATATAGATATATAGATAGATATAGATATATATGTGTATATATACACACACACACATACACAATATATGTAGACACATGCACATATAATATGTGTGTGTGTGTGTGTGTGTGTGTGTGTGTGTATTCTATTGCTCTTAGCTCCCAAGCTACACCATCACTTAGCAAAAATGCTTTATAGGTGTTTTTATATTCCCAAAGGACCTATAGGAGAGAATATTGTTTACAACCACATCAGATGTAAAAACAATGAAGCCAACAATTTAGGCAACTTGTCTGCTATTTATAGAGTTAATTAATGGCAGATCAAAGGCCAGAGCTGCATCTCAATATTGACAATCAGCAAAGATCAACTTAAATACAGTAAGATATAAAGAGGAAAATCTCCCAGGGAGAGGAGATAGGATAAACCAGAATAACCCATATGATAATAGAATCACTGATGGAGGAGTTGGTATTTGCAGTAAGTGATCATTCATTCCTCTTGATATAATCAAGCTTCTGCAGACTTGTCTGGTGATATACTAAACTAGAGTCAAAGGACACCTAAGAGATTTGCAGTTTCCAACTTTGATACATCCCCTTTACCATCCCTCTACCCCATCAACCTTCACTGAAGGATTTTGCAGAGTTAGTGACCAAAATATTGGTAGAGGCTACCACAGTTTCCATAAATTACTTGTATTAGTCAGCTGTATGAAGTTTTCATCACCTAGACAACTTGGCTTTATTAACATTCAGGGGAGTGTGTTGGCCTGAAAATATCTTAATCTGAAAATCAAAGCAATCATCCGCACACAAATGTAAATGAAAAATTGAGAGGCAGAGTCATGTTGCCCTTTATTGGGTCATCTTCAATGGGAGGGATGTCACACTGATTCTTCTCCCACCCTATAGGCCCACACCTGCCTTTAAAGGTATATCTCTTTTAACACATATCACTTTAAACTGATAGCATCTTTTTTTTGGTAAATGACCATAAATTTAAGAGGTTACAGTCTCTTTTTCCATCCCTTCTTTCCTCTGCTTGGTTATTTCATCCATTCAACAGATATTTATTAAATGCTAACTATGTGCCATACAGACCAGTGATATCAAGATAAAAATAATTTTTGCACTAAAGGACCTTACTTTATCTACAGACAACAGGAGGGAAGTACATGTACAAAAACAAGCTCAACATACAAAGATACACCATTGCGTAGTTAATAGAAATTCTTTTTAGAAACTCAAATCTATATTCTCACATAAGCTAGAAATGTGGAAAAAGTGTTTTCCATCTCACCACGACACCTTCAGTGATTCATCATAATGTATGCGTTCTAAATTATCACAGGCTGCAGTGTATTCTGGATAGCTTAATTGCCCTTTAGTTTCTCTGCTTTTCACCCTGGATTTTATACTCTTTAGCAGAGAAATGTTTCCCTCTCTTATCATGGTTATAGTACAAGTTGTTTTTATTTTATTAGAGTTATAATTATAGCCATAATATTACTACTTTGAAATGTATATTCTAACATCATAGAAA